ACGACGTTTATACGATGAAAAATGCTGAAAAATAATTGCAGTTACTATCCACTCGAATCGTTTTCGAGCACATATACTTCGATTTAAAACAATTTTTACAAAAAACAAACGAATGATTATGGGATGAACAATCATAGACAAATTCGAAAATCATCGATGTTCATCTTGAAATTTTTCTTCGAGAAAACATGAAATTTACGTGGAGCAATACATAAGAATTTGTTGTAAAAGAGATTTGTGTCACAATTGTAGCAGAGAAGTGTCACCATCAAAAAAACTACATATGATTTATAATCGAACTTGATCAGCCGAATGAACGAAATACTCGAAATATCCGGAGTGCGCAATCGGATTTCGTTGTTGCGTTATCTGATATCCGGACGGCATATCCGCATAAAAGTAATGCTTTCGTTCGAATCGACAACGTCGTGCAATCTTACAGTTCAAAAGAACACCCGCTTGTATGCCTCTCTGAATACTCGAAATTATCACGAATCATTCAGTTATTTTTCTAAAATTATGACCAACCAATCAATCAAAATTATCACTAATCAATCAGTTACATTACCCGTTACGTTATATTCATCTTTTTCATTCATTACTATCATTCAATATTCATTATTCTCTTGCTGATCAATACGTATGTGTATCATCTTGAAAATAAGCACACGCTTCAACAACAGAACTATAAAACCGTGCACTTGCTTGTAATTGTAATGGACGATAGAAACGAACCAGAACAGAGTTCCTGTTCAGAACGGGTAACGTTCCGGGTACAGCGATATCGAACAGTTCAACGGATGAATTCACGTGCGAAGTGTCGTCGAAAGCAGCGGATGAGAACATTTTCGAACTGAAATGTGTTGCTTTTGCATGCGATATGCTGTATTCATTGCGATTGCGTAACACTCATTGTCAGTACTGTGTGACCACAACTTAAGAATGCTTCAGTGAGATCGCGCAATCGCTCCGACGCAATTGTTCGTCAAAACCACATAAAATTTATTATATATTGTCAACTCCTTTACTGAGCGATTTACAAACTTCAACATTCGATCAATCACACAAGAATGAGGCGGTTTCGAGCGTATAAAGGGCTCGAGTGTGAGTGTTAAATGGAAAATTGGCTTCAACAAATGCTTACTTTGAGCAGATTTGAGCATGGATTTCCAGTCCAACACTCGGCTTGTAACGAACTTTATCGGTGGAAATTTTTGGCTTCGATATTTTCGCACAAAGCCGATTGACTAACCTCATTCTGGACGATAACCTCAAATTCATCACCTGGTGTTTACAACAATTTCGCAGTTCACATTCTCCGGTAGCTCATTAGACTCTGTTTATTATCATCCAAATAACACTGAGGAGAAACAGTTACTGCTCATTTTTGAAATCTCTTCGATGGACTACGTAACACCGCTGGAATTCAATTAGAAACGATAGTGAGAGAGTAAATTTTGGAGGGTGAATTTAGAAAATGTTTTAAAACGATCCATTGGATCTTCAAATTCAATTTCCAGCAAAAATCGCCAACGGATGAGGTATCTTGAGCAGTGTTCAACCAACAGATAATTGTAATGGTGACAAGTAAAATGAAATAATTGGCAACAATTTGAACAATAGAAATTTATTCCTCATAACGGACAATTAACAACATTCAGCTGAACAAATCAACGTTATCGACAATAAAAACGATCTCTGTTAAATTCTCGGAAAGGAACAACGCAAAAGGCATCCGAATAGCAGAAAATCAACAAAATTTGACGACATGGGCTCGAAAAGACAACAAACCACGAATTCATGTCAGCAAAACACAAAAACCACTCGAACAAAATCACGAATTAACTCTAAAAATCACTAAAACTTCAACAACAAACAATCCACACACATCAAATGAACACAAAACTCAAAACAAAACTAAAACAAAACATCTAAAATATTCATTTGAAACATTTGAATTGCAAATAATTTATAAATTGTGATGAAACGAATAATCACTCGATTCACAAACCGAATACAAACACTCTTAATCACTTGAATACTCAAAAAATACAAATCTTCTCTCAGTGAGCCACAAGATCATCACTAGAATGAAAAAAGGGTTTACGACTGACTCTATTTGGAACCAATCGAAAATCTTTGCTTCTTCAAATCGTTCTGAACGGATTCAACGACAACAACAACAATTCGTATGAATCCACAGTCGGAAAGCTGAATAACAAAATTTGAGCAACTAATTAACCAATAGTAAAAGTGATGCCATGTTCACCGAAAAACAAACACAAAAAACTGAAATGATTCCAGTTGAGTATTCCAGTTCTAAATGATTAGTAGAGTATTCCAGTTCGTTTCAGAATGCGAAATGGTAATCTAAGCGCTATCGCTCACTCGCCATATCCATCAATCGTCTCATAAGAGCATTACCACAATCACTATTATGTAATTATTTCGAAGTGCAAACAAACGATTTTCAAAAAGATATCAAAAATCATCTCCTGATATGTATTTCCAAAACCGAATCACACCAATAACAACAACAGTCCAGTTTCGCTATGCTCAATGTCAACAAGCAATCAAAATCACAAAAAAACAACGACAAACTTTTCGAAGTCAATTCCTAAATTAAACTCTCTCTTCATGAATTAACAAACAAACGAATGAAATCGCATTCGCTTTCCTTTCAAAACAAAACGCTCAACAACAATAAATATCCAACAAAAACAGTAACAACAATAACAAATCTCACGTTCTTAACGCACCAATACCACTGAATCACCATCAAAACCAACAGCAATATTCGAATACAATTGGAATATTCTCTTCTCGCTAAATCAAACTGAATATATCGCGAGAAAAACGATATTAACGGAGACAAAGATCATCGCCATTTTGAAATGAGAAGGATAACGAAAGTATATGAATAACTGCCCAGTCATATTATCTTATAAATGCACTACCTCACTTTTGTCTTTCTAACGATAATATCGAAAGATTCCTTTTTTGGGGTAAACCGAAAACCGGTCAAATTTCAGTCAAACTTCGATAGGCTCACCTAAGAATCGATGGATTCACCTAACGAACGATACGTTGAACATTTCAAGGAACACAGACAATATCAGAGATTTCTTGAACATTCATTGAAGGATCTGACGGCTGTTGTTTAATCGATTTCACCAACTGTCGATGTGTTTCAGCCAAAACATCACGAGCAGCACCCTGCAAAATTAAGCGGATGAAACGAAAAATTCCTTCCTTTTTATGAAATAACAGTTCACATTGAAATCACCAAAAAAATTATTATTCCCTTCAAAAAAGTAGAAAAAAAAACAAATGCGATAAAAATGACGAATTTTTGAATAACCTCCAATGTTGACAGATATTCATCGTAAACATTCGAATTGCTCACACGCAATTTCAACGCATCAATAAGCGCATGCTCACACGCAACACGAACAGCCGTATTCTTCTCCTTCGTTCCATTCACCATCATCGGTATAACAGTCTTCAAATTTCATTTGGATATTATTTTCGTTTTTGACAACTGATTCGTTACGATATCACTACGACCGCGAAAGTTCAACAGTTTAAGATTCACGAAAAATTTCACAGACTTTTTGAAGATTCATTAAACTATCATTAAGATATGTTCACAACTCAACAGACTTAATTTCGTCAGGACAAGTGTTTTATTTAGAAAAGATAGTAATAATAAGAGTGATAACTGTTGTTTAACTCAAGACAAACCTTCATTTCGATCGGTGATAACTGCTTGACAGCAACATGATGAACTCCGAGTGCAGACAACCTTTTCACATCGTTTGATGAGTGGTTTATGGCACGAACCAATGATGACAGCAGTGTTATGTCCATCTCCGACTGACTATAATCAAATAAAAGCCGCATTCACTAATTTTGTGAACAACTCCAGTAATATCTCAGAAACCAATTAACAATTCTAAACTACAAATAAGCAATCTAATTGAAAGGAATTCAAAGGAAAATCACTGCCGCATGTCGAGCACACAAATTTAACAAGACCGAC